TATTAAGTTTTCTCACGACATCTAATGAGGTGTTTGGGGCTTTTGATGCTTATGTCCATCACGATTTTGACTACTTGGTTGCTTAGGTCATGTATTCTGAACGTCATAGTTTCTTCATACGAGCTCAGATTTTAACGATCTTTATATCCATGCGTTCGTATTTTAATCTACTACAACATTCGTTTAGATTACTCCCGTTAAAAAATAATATATTTTTACTTACGATCTTTATATCCATACGTTTTTTATGAATGCATGTATGAATGTTTTTTTATAAAATCGTAAATAAAAATATATTATATTTTAACGAGCATAATCTTAACGAAAGTTCTAGTAGACTCAAAAACGAACATGTGGATATAAAGGTCGTTAAAAATCTAATACCATATGAAGAAGTTATGACGTTCAGATGAAGTCTTTAAATTTCACGGGTTTTATAAAAACGAAATGTAAAAAACCCTCACGTTGATTCCTTTATCAACGCTCGACTAAATGAAACTTAAGATCTAATACTATGTAAGCCTCGCAATGAATAATACAATATTTCTCTTTTTTTGCACAAGCAAATGAACACGTGCGGAGTATCTTCTAAAAACAAATTCTGTTATAACCAAAAATATTCATGCCAAGTCACTTTTGTGATACCAACACTTGCCAAGTCAATACCTAAATTGAACACAAACTGGTCACATACATTGTGATCAAACAATCAGGTTCTTCGCTTGAGCCGATATACATTGCTTGTTAGCTTTTCTTGAACACATGTTTCCCTAGTAGCTTGAGTTTGATCTTCATAATGCTAGAGGACGATCTGGTATACAATTCACACAAACATAAACCGATATAGATAGAAATTATGATGGAAAAATATGAATATATTTTCCTGGCATAGAAAGAGAAAAAGATGGTCAAAACTCTTTGTTACAAAAGTTGATATTGGAAGTTATAGACTTACAAGGTAGTTAGTTTTAGGCTTTGTACTGTTTTTGGAAAACATACTATTTGGATTGTCTTCAAGTTGCCAACAAACTAAAAGTGTTATAAAATTTTTTCCACATGTTATATTAGGGCATATACTATCCATTCTATACTAGAATATCTCATGATGCGTTCAATACACATTGAACTTTACATTTTCTCTCTTCTATATTGTATTCGATTATATTCTATTCAACAATTATTGAAGCTTCATTATGGATGCCCTATAGCAGGTCAAATCTTCACTTTTATACTTTTGACCCAAATTTTAAATTTTATTATAAATTTGGTCTGAACTTTAAATTTTGTTATGAAAATATAAAAACAACACAATAAATGGAATCAAACATAAGAATTTAGTTCATATATATATATATATATATATATATATATATATATTATATATATATATATATATATATATATATATATATATATATATATTGCAAATTGTTGAAAGAAATGTTTCAAAAAAAAATTCATCGAAGCCATTTCACACTAATAATGTATTTTGGCTACGGTTTTGTGGTAAAAAATAAGTTGGAAAACAACTTTTGTTATAGAAACTCTTTCGCAACTATTCATTTTTATAAAAGGGTTTTGGTCTAACAGTATCAGATGTGTTATAAATGTCTTCTATCAAGTGGTCGATGGTTCAAGTCTTATAAAAACGCTTTCGCAACTATTCATTTTTTTTAAACATTTCTTTCAAAAATATTAAGGAGTAAATGTGTATAAAATGAGAAATATATTACTCTATTAAGTTATTTTTCTCGGCTAACCTGGAGCAACCGGTCATAATGACTGAATGTGTACAGTTTAACGAGTTGAAGGGCTAAATGTGGACGAAAAAAACTCACTGATCAAATATATATAAATCGAAAAATATATTACCTTTCTAAATCATTATCCCTAAAAATGCATATAGGTGTTAGCCGTTCTAAGAAACCAATTATTTTACAAAAATACAAAAATTAAAATTAATTTTTTTTGGTGAGTACCCCATATTTTCGTTCGTTCTCATGTGCGGCAAGAGAATCACACAACTTACCATAAATGGAAACAATTCTAAAACTAACATCCAAAATATAAATGTAGACAAAATGGTCCATTGAAAATTAAAAGAAGACAACATGGTCCATTGATAAGAGTTGACGGATATCACATTGACATATTTTTCATAAAATAGTTATTTGTTTATAAAGATGAAATATTTTATAACCGCAAATTCTAATAAGATGCTAGAAAAGTGATTTGCACAATATTTTTTTTTTCATTTCAAATTTTTTTTTGAACAGCGGAATCACATTAAAACGAAACTAGCGAGACGCTAGACAAGTTACAAGTTACAACATACAAATAAGGAAAACAGGAGAATTACACCAGTCAAACCAATTTAAAGAACTAAACCTCCCTCTATATTTCAACCAATTGAAAGAGATTAACTGAATATCATCGGCTGTCTTCATTGGGCTGATCCTGAAACTTTTGAAAATTAAAGCATTTATAGTCTTCCATATGCTCCATAAAACCGAATATACGAGGGCCCATAGCAATCTCTTCCTTTTTTTTTATTCAACACCAATGTCTTTACGACCCCCAACATGTCTGAAACATTCATAGGGGCAGATTTCAATAACATCAGAACCAGCTCCAAACCTTTTTTGCAAAACTACACTTAAAGAACAGATGTTCGACATCTTCCTGTTCAGTACCACAGAGCGGGCAAAGATACGATGACAAAGTCACACCTCTAACAAGAAGGTTGTCGGCAACTGGGATCCTATTTAAACATAAACGCCAAACAAAACAATTCACTTTTAGAGGAGCCCAACCCTCCCAATGAAAAGGAAACGTGTTTGAGACCTCTTCCGCAATAGCCATCAAGTTCCGCAAACTTTGAACTGTAAAACCACCCGTCTCGTTACCTTTTCCAAATCCACGAATCATCTATGCTTGTCAACACCACACCAACAACTTTGTTGTTTAAATTTGATAAAGTTGTTGCCTCCCTTCATCTCCTTAGATTTCTCGACCACTGCCTATGAATTCCATCTAGACGTTTGTTTTGAATTCTGTTACTGACCATGCAATTTTTCTGCACTTCAATGCGATAAAGTTCCGGAAAAACATCTTTCAACACTACACCGTCACACCATTTGTCCTTCCAAAAGTAGGTTCTATTTCCCGCTCCAAGACGCCTTAGGCTGGAGGGAGTGGTGCCACCGAAACCGCACTCCCTCCCCCGCCACATAAGCGCCATGTCAAATTATACCACACAAGTGTGGTTTCTTGCCACACCAAGGGGGTGGTGCCACACTTTTATTTATTTATTATTATTTTTTTGTTATTTTGTTAACTATTTTAATTTAATAAAACTTATTTATTTAATAAAAAAACATAATTTTAAAAAGATAATATTTCATTAATTAAAAATACAAATACTATACATTACTTAACTTAAAAAAAACCTAAATTTAGAAAAACAAAGTAGAAACATAAAACCTACAACTTAAAAAAAACACACACACACACACGAAACGATTAAAAACTTGAAAAAAAAAACTAGAAATTAGCCACGATTGATGTAACGATTTTTCACTTCCTCCTTCATCGCCAAAACCACTTCAAGCTCGGCCCTGGTCATATTCGACGTGTCCATCGCTAGTATTCGCATGTAGCTCTCTCTTTGTTTCCGAAGCTCTCTTTCAGAAGCAATTTTCAAAATCTTATCCATTCTGTCTTTTATACCCTTCATGTCGGATCCAATTTCTTTCAAATCATTTGAATCCGACGTTTTGCCTTTGCCTTTGCTTTTTGATTTGTCTCTTCCCATTGGTCGGGAAGGTGGTGAAACTGGAACAGGTTCATCTTCGTTCAGATCAAATTGAACACGAGCATCTGATGTAGTGTGGTAGGACTCAGATGTTCTGCTGCGTTTTGACCCACTGTCGATATGCTCGTCTGATGTTTTGCTACTCAGCCATTTCCTGTTATCTTTCAAAAAATTCTAAACTTCAAGAAACTTGAAAGCCTTCAGATTTTCTTTTTGATACACTTTCAACGCTTTCTTCAAAATCACTTCATCGCTTTCTCCACTTTTCCATTGACGTTTCATGTTGTTCCACAAGTCATTAAACAACATGACTTCCTTGTTCATCTTCCCCCATTTGGAGTACACTTGATGTTTTGAACGATATTCTCCACAGTTCATTCCTTTATGGAACCTGTGTAAAACACGAATCCAAAAGCGGTCATGCTTTTAGTCTTTTCCAACCGTCGCATCTTCTGAAATATCGATCCAAGATTGTGTCAACACTAACGCTTCCAAAGGTTCCCAACATCTAGCCTCCGCCTTCTCTTTTCTTTTAGTTGCTGCTTGAGTGGGCTGAGTCTCTATAACGAATTCCGGTTCAGAATCAGAAACGACCGTTTCTGGTTGTGTTTGTGTTTGTTGAACAAACTCGGGTTGAGATAAAAAATCAAATGGATTAAAATCCGGGTCGGGTTGTGGTAGTGGTGGTGTTTGTGGTTGTGGTTGCGCTGGTCGTTGTGGAAAATACGGAAACATACCGCCGTAATGGTAATACGGAGGTGAGAAAATCGGTTGATCAAATGAAGGTAGTGGGGTGTTGGTATTTCTGACTGGTGTTTTTTCTTTGCTGAGTCGTTTGGAAGATGACATTTTTCAAAAAAAAAATAGAGAAAAGGAGTAGAGATATGGTAAAAGGTTGTGTAAAAATGTTGTGTAGAATGGTAATATATATATGTGTGTAGTAAAGTTTAAAAAAAAAGAAAGAAATTAACCACAAAGACCATTCAATGGTCAAAAATAGTCAAAACCCAATGACCAATCAAAAACCGCGGTATTCCCTAGCCGCACTGCGGCCAAGACCGCACCAGACCGCGGTCTGGGGGCGGTGTTCTTGGTTGACGTGGCACCAACTGCGGTCTGGGACCGCGCCGACACCCTTCAGCCTTACAAATGCCAATGCACAGGAAACATTTTTTGCATTCCAATGCAACTGGTCTCTGACAAGTAATTTCCTTTACTTATCTTCTCTCTCCATAATTATTTCAAAAAAATCCACAGCAGAAGGTAACCAATGAACAGTAGTTAAAAGAAAATGGGAAATGCATTGAAGTCTCTATACGGCCAATGCTGTCCTGAACCACCAACCGCCACCACTACCGGCGGCGGCACTGGTACTGATCAACCACTTGGCCACTCCGCCCTTGCCCAACACCTCTATCACTTTGAAATCACCTCCCAGGTTCACTTCACTTTCACGCCTTTCTTAACTGGATCTATCAAAATCAACCCTTTTTATACATGCATGGTTAGAAAAACTCGATTCACTCGTTTGATTTATGATTTATAGGTTCCTGAAGATCTGAGTAAGCATGTGAGTTTATCCAAGAAAGCTTAGTCCCATTGGTAAATAATAAATTTCCCAACTATTAATACCTCTGTTCTTCACTTTTTTACCTTCTCAAAGTCAAAATTGTCGAAATCAAAACTCAAATGGCATCGAGTTTCCATTGTTGTTAATTGATCTTATTGAAGGTATGAGAAACTATCAAAAGCATGGAGGGAATCAAAGCCTCCACCAAAAACACCTGAAGAGGCTTCCATGCTTGTAGTTCATACACTACACAGACGTCAAACAGCTGATCTTGAGGTTCTTTCTCTACCAAACAACTTTTCTTGAAGAATGGTGCGAATTAAAGCTCCATTAACGACACCTCGGGACCCGGACCCGGACCCGGACCCGGACCCTTTCTGGATCCTTCTCATTAGCCCTATAAATCTTGACCCGGGTTTAACCTAAAGGAACAAATAGATCACATAATGCATCGACTAACTTATGTAAAAAAGATTTGTAATTTCTGTGTTGTATTTTTCGTTTTAAAGGGATTATTATCATTCTACGGTCTCCCATTTCTTGATTCGCTAGTTGAAGTCACCGCCGGTGAAACTCCACCGCTTTCCGACGGTTTCAAGTTCGAATTGCACACGCTTCCGGTAAGAACAAGTGAACAACTCCCCTCTACACCGACAAATTCAATTTCTTACTGATTTTTCACTCTTGCGATTGAAAAAGGTGGATCCAAGGGCAGTAGCAGATGGCGATGGTGTAACAGTGTATGTTAGAACGACAGATGCTTGGGGGTCGACACGTGTCCCCCCAGAGATACAAATGGCAGCAGATGAACGCAAGAAAGCACGTGCTCAAAGGAACTACGCTAAAGCAGATGCACTATACACCCTAATCAAAGATGCAGGCTATGGGTAAATTAGTAAATGTCACACAAATCTAGCTTTTTAACTTCGACAACAATGACAATGTTATTTTTTCTGAATTGGGGTTATATTATATACAGGGTGCTACATATAAAAAACGAGGAAATTCTAGCCCGAAAGTATAGGATCAGACTAAGGTATTTCATATTTCCATATTTGGATTATAAAAAATTAATTTTGTGAAGCGTTTGTATTTTGGGGTGATATGAGTAAATGGAAACAGGGGAATAGATGCACCTGAAAATGCAATGCCTTATGGGAAAGAGGCGAAGGATGAATTGGTGAAGATAATTGATGGGAAGTGTTTGAAGAATTTGATATTTGATGAAGAATATGGGCGTTTTGTTGGGGATATGTATTGTGATGGCATATTTGTACAGGTAATTTGGATGTTTTTCTTATAATGTGTGACAGTTGTAATCAGCTAATATTGGGAACTTGATTGCACAGGAAACGATGCTGAAGAAAGGACTTGCATGGCATTACACTGCTTATGATAAACGACCGGAATTAGAGAAGGTAAGTGTAGTTATATGTGATTGTGTTAAGAAAAATAATGAGGTTTTTTTTTGAGGTCTGAAATGGTGGAATTGGTTTTGATGATGTTAGTGGGAGAAAAGTGCGAGAGCTAAGAGAATTGGGTTGTGGGCTTCATCAAATCCTGAAATGCCATGGGAATGGAGGAAGAATCGAAGAATCTATGAGAACTCGGATAGGTGGCTTAAGTTATGTTTGTTCACTTTATTTGGGGCTATTTTGTCTTTCTATATTTCGTTAATCAAATAGAAAATGACAATGTGCATGAAATAGCAAATATGTTTTGTGTTGTTTTTTTAATGATACCGGTGATGTACATTAGTTTCTATCCATGACAAAACCGACCCATGCTCAGCCCTAACAACAACATATATAGCAACTTTTAACCTGAATAATGGTTAAGGGGTTTCAAACTATTTAAGAACTTGTGTATGTGGCCATAAACAATGTTGATGTGTCAATTATTGGAAAGAAAATAAATTCAATTGCAACTATGGACATTACGCTCCACAAGGAGTTATTGATTTAGTCTTGTTGATTGGTTTGTTGTAAGGTTGGTTCCTAAAATCTACAAAGCCAGATCTTGTTTGAAGGCATATAACGACTAATTTGTTCACATCTTCATCTCCTATTCTTCATTCACGCAGTTATAATAGTTTGGTTAGACGTAAATACAATTTTGGTTTATTGGCTTTCATCATCTGAACAATAATGGGATTAAGATTTAGTCACCAATGATATCTCCCTTTTCATGATAACGCTAAGAAGTATTACTATTTTTTTTATGGGTGCTGTTAAATTGATATCTCTTTATCAAAAATCAACCTATAATTAACTATTTATAATTTATTTTTTCGGAGAAACAATGCAAATTCAACCAATAAAAAAAATTTCAAAAACCAAATAGGATGTTTATATGGAAAAATGAAGTGTCTTTTTAGCCAACCATTTTTTATACAAGAGTTCCAAAAACTAGTCACAAGTCCGAATAATAATTATTAGGCCGGACGGAGTTGGTTGGGCAATACCCTCGGTGACCTCGGCGAACATAGGGCCGACCCCTCGGCATGCCGAGCTCGGTTCGGCAACTTGCAGAAATGTGTCGAGCTTCTTCCTTCTACCACCCTTCTTCCTCCTTCCTTCATCCCTCACTCGGCAGACCAACCCTCCTCTTCTCCCTCTCTTCTTCTGCCGAGCTTCTTCCACCCATTTTGCTGATATGGCATTCGGCAGTCTCGACACCATTCCGAAAAGCCTTATGACATAAATAAAATTTTCCCTTTTGAGAAACCAAAATAGTTATGACATACCTGTAACGCTTGGTTCAGGTATAAGTTATTCTTTAAAATTTTGAAATTTTTGTTGGAACTCGATGAGTTGGAGAGCTCTAACTCGTCGTGTTGAGAAGGATTGTGGCCGCGGGTTTTAATGACCCAACTCGGTGAGTCGGGGTGTCCCAACTCGACGAGTTGGCGGCTGGGATGAAACCCTAAATTTAGGGTGTTGCACCCTATTTAAAGAACTTTAACCCCCTTGGTTGGCCTCCTTACCAGCCACCCTTGTCCAGAAACCCTAGATTCGTGTATCTCCTTGCAAGTTTGAGTGTGTGAGCTTGTGGTGAGCTTAGATAGTTGATTTTGGTGATTTCTTGGAAGGAGCTTTGAAGTTGGAAGTGCCTAGCTTGGAAGGAGGACTTTAGACCCGAAACTCTTCACCAAAAGGAGCCTTTTTGAGGTATAAAGTCGACACCTTGCCTTATTATCATCTAGATCTCTTTGTTTGAAGTTTTAGTATGATTTTGGGATTTTGGTTGGGATGTCCAAGATGTTGAAGGTTCCAGGGGTTATTATGTTAGATCTGACCCCTTCATGACTTCTCTTGGCTTAAAGTTGCAACTTTATTGGTTTCTAGGTCCTATTTGTTGGGTTTTGAGCATTCTAACACTCCTATGGTGTACATGCAACCCTAAATACCTTGGATCTACGTTTTCTCTAATATACATGCAAATGCTAATATTCCAAGGTATTACCCTATCTAGCATACAATCATAGATACTTGGGTAATAATATAGATAGAATACATACCTTTTGTAGTGTAGCTTGACTCCATGGGGCTTGAGTGCCTAGTGCCTCAAATGTGACACCTCAAATGGCTCACACAACATCAAATGCTCTTGGAATAACTTAGAGAGAAATCCACACTTCAAGAAATCGGCTAGCCCTTCTTTTTCACACACTAGTAGCCGATTTTGGTGAATAATATGATGCTTATATAGTATGTTACAATTAGGGTTACACCATGTAAACCCTAATTGTCATGATCTTTCATTTCCATGACCCATGGGTTAAGTAACCTCCATGGAGCATCCATGGAGCAACCTATGGGTTTAACCCAACTTGATTATTCATGGAGCTTTGGCCCACTATATAAGTTATGGATGATTTACACAATCAACCCATATATTTAATTAGTCTTCTTTTGATCACATAATTAATTCTAAATTAATTCTTGATCAATACTAATTAAATATTATTATTGTTATTATTAATATATTAGAACTTATAATATATTAATAACCATAAGTGTCTTATTTCTCTCATTTAGTCTATCCAAGTGCATGATGCCATGCAACCCAAATGGACCATGCCTGGTCGGGTCAAGTACATACCAAATATAGTGATGACTTAGACACTAATCCAATAGTCTCCCACTTGGATAAGTCTAAAACTATTATTGTGTATGACTTCAAGAACCAACTGGCAATCGTAGCTCTCAAAAGCCTCCGTCGAACTCTGACCTTGCCAATAATCTCTGACCTTTGTCAATGACTTGTCCATTAGATAAGTGATCATATATTCCTCCATTCTAGATATCATATGGACTGAGACATGGATTATAAATCATTCTCTCTGTCCATTTGTTGTTTCCCGATTTCCGATTTATGACGACTGACTGATTGAACAGATCAAATCAGTCATGGCTTGGCCAAGCACTCACATGTGTCATCGCTAAATCATCGAGGGGCCCACAGATATCGCTTTTATCCCGAAGGTAAAAGGAATAGATAAACTTCGACTCATATGGCTTGTTCTACTACTTGTTGAATCATACACAAAGGCACGTTTTATAACATCGAGTTACCAATGCGTTTTCGTGCAATCAATGTACTATCAACTCATAGTAACAACTCATATCTCTAGGTTTGAAGAATATACGATATTATCGTCTCATGATCACTCGTAATAAAATCCATGAAGTGATTCAAATGAGCGCGGGTTGAATCCAATACTCAGAACTTATGAGCACTCATGAGTGTTGTATCACCACTTTGTCCACCAACTTGGACCTCTACAAGCCAACTCATGACAATCTTGATTCATATCTACTTCCAACATATGACCGACTGTGGATGGTTTGAATAACTTAATCATTTAGGAAGAGCGAATTAGTTATTCTGGAAGTCAAAACATGCAAAGTGAAACACAAGAATAAATGAATCAAATATGGTATCAAACCCCTATGAATATAAATAGACCACTTTTATTTATCACCATACTGATTACTCATTGTTCATTGTTTCGGTTTTATCAACTTTATACTTGAATTAAAACACTAGGTGTCCTATGCTCCAAGCATGTACACTATGTTTTTCTAAACAATAGCTTTGCAATACATCAAGTATGCACTCTATGTTTGTCTATGATCCTTACTTTGTGAAATAGATCGATTGAACCTACTTTCAATGATTCTAATTTCACACTCCCAAATCCTTATCGAAAAATGTAAGAATTCCAAATTCCTTACATTTACCAAAATCTGTTTAGATTTTAAACTTATATGCACAGACCCTCTTGTAATGAATATGTACAAAGTCACAAAGACTTGTCATCAGTCATTACAGGTTATTCCAATGGAGATCAATTCCATGGAGACGAAGTCTCAAAGCACATTGCTTTGAATATCCTTCTTGCATTAAGTCTTCTAATCTTACACATATAACTTCCACCTATGGAGACAACTCCATATTCTCATTTTGACTATCACTTCTGAACGAGAGATGCCTCTTTTTCAGAATATGTCAATATGGTCCTTCCAATATTAACAGTATACTTCCAACTGTCCTTGAGCAATCAATCTTTGGTAAACCTTAGATTGTCCTCGATAATTGCTTAATCCTTTTAGTCATATCCAATTCTAGACCTTTTCCCTTCTTAATGCCCCAGGCATTCGGAAAATTTTAGAAGGGACAAATATTATAGCACATGCAATCGATCCTGTACCCAAAGCAAATGGGACACGATTCATGATGTCTCACATAAAGACATGATTCTAGACCAATCTTTTGCTACAATAATTTTTGTTTGCCATGTTTTCAAAAATTTGACTATGAAGAGGGATGCCGTAATCATAACCGAATTTTGAGAACGCAATATATAGAATTTCCTTAAGTTGAACCAATCCAACATGAAATTCATATATATATTCTTGACTAAAATGATTAAAATCTCAATCTAAGCCTTTTAGAATTGAAATGAAGTATAATTTCCTCTCCCTTAATTATAGTAAAACAACTTTTTCAACCCTTGCAACCTCACGAGTTGAACTTTTGTTTTCTATAATTAACATTGCTAACTTGCTCAGCACAAGGGCCTGCCATAGTTTCCAAGTAGCTGTGCAACCAATTGGGAACTTTCAGAACTCCTATGCAAAGTCAACTTGAATAGGCACAGAAATGTAACACTTATTCTCCCACTAGCTTTGACATGTACTCAGAAATCAGCTGGACTTCTAGAAATCAATACTTTATTGACCTTCTTACCAAAGTTCAGACTTCTGATATGAGATTGCTTTGATAAAACTTTATCAAAATCATACACCTTTCCTTAGATAGCATGCATGTGTGTCTAAACAATTTCAGAACTATGAAAAGGGATGCCGTAATCATAGTCTCAATTGTTTAGACATTTTGTCATCTGGTTCAAATCTACTTGGTGGAAGTGTTTCCTCACCATCATTTTCATGAATCGGAGAGAAACCTTATAACACTTAGATTTTTATGGTGTATGAGTTCCTACCCATATGAATTTGTCAAAACCATAATCACAAGACAAGGTTAGTGACAAATCCAAACTCATATGGATTGAACTTGTGCAATCTTAAGTTCTTGCCACCTGGCAGTACAAGGGCCTGCCATAGCTTCCAAGTAGCTGTGCAACCAATTGAGAACTTTCAGAACTCCTATGCAAAGTCAACTTGAATAGGCACAGAAATGTCAACACGATAGGTTATACACCTCAAGTCGTGTGCTAGTGAAG